GGGAGCCTCTGTGCTGTTGTAAACTACCCCTGTGTGCTGCTGAGGACTGATCCAGCACACAGCTCCATGCTGACCTTCCAGATTTCTCTTCCAGTTGTTGGTGGTGCTTGGTGGGATGTGGCTACCATGACCCATAATAAAAGCTCAGTGTGAGCAGAACCTTTTGCTTCCAAAGATGTCTAGAGGAAGAGTTTCCGAGCTCAGTCCTCTGTGTACCCTCTTTCATTAGTATTTTCTGCGTGGCAGGAGGTCCCTGTTCTTGAAAGCAGAGATCGCTGATGCAGGTTATCCTAGGAGAAGGTTCAGACAGGAAGGATGGGCTAGTCTGGAGGGGGACTAGCCTGGGTTCTGGGAGTACCTAGCTCTGCCTTCCTGGGCCAAGTGCTAGATAGATTAGAGACTCCTTCATGAAAACTAGAAATGCACTTCCTCCAGGTGGTCTAGGATGGTCTCAGCCTCCGGGGTTGAGGCTCAGGTAAGCCAATGCTGCTGAGTTCTGGTGGGCTCAGTTCCCTCACCAGCTTGGGCAGGTGTCTATGTACAGCACTAACTGAGCAGCCGTAAGCTGTGGTCATGCTCTTACCTGGCCGAGGACTGGGTACCAGTGAAGGCTGAGGAATAGAGCTAGAGGTTGGAGGGTGGGCAGAGGAGAAGCTGCATGTAACACTACCACTTTTTTTTTCTCCCAATACTGGAGTTTGAACTTGGGGTCTTGTACTTGCTAGGCAGATGCTCTACTACTTGAGCTATGACCCTAGTACTTCTTGACTTTTGATTTTTTATCTATTTTCCCTTCCTTCCTTCCTTCCTTCCTTCCATCTTTTTTCTGCCTAGAGTGGCCTTGGACTGTGATCTCCCTACTTATGCCACTTACATAGCTGAAACAACAGACACATACTGCTATACCTTTCTTATTTGTTGAGATGGAAGCTGAATAATTATTTGCCTACTTGAACTATGGTTCTCCTGATTTCAACCTCCAGAGTAGCTAGGATTATGGGAGTGGGCCACTTCACTCGGCCATCACATCATTTCCTTAAATTCTTACAACGACTCAGTGAAGTAAGTGGGTATTATTAGTATTGGTTTCCAAATATTTTTTCTTTTTCTGAATTACAAACGATTTTCATAGTCCCAGTGCCTGTTTTGTCATCCACCAATGAGTCTGACACTCATAGGTTTTGTTTTGTTTTTTTCCCTCAGGCTACTGTGATGAACGTGCTCTGGGAGAAGATTATAGTTCATCCTCAAAATGTTACCTTTTATGTTGACCTTATTTCTGGATTTTTTTTATTTATTTTTTTTCCTTTTTCATATATATCTTTTTTTTAATTTAATTTTATTTTATTTGTGAACATACTGTACAGAGGGGTTACATTGCATGGGCAGGATAATGCATACATTTCTTACCAAGCATTGCAGCCTCCTCCTTTGTTTACCCTTCCCATTCCTTCCCAGCCTCCCCCCTCCCCCCGATTTTTTTTTTTTTTTTTTTTGTCTGTCGTGGGGCTTGAACTCTGGGCCCAGACACTGTCCCTGTGCTCTTCAGCTCAAGGCTAGCACTCTACATCTTGAGCCACAGCGCCACTTCCTGTTTTCTCGTGTTTACTTGGAGATCGGAGTCTCACGGACTTTCCTGACCAGGCTGGCTTTGAACTGCCATCCTCAGATCTCAGCCTCCTGAGTAGCTGGGATTACAGGCGTGAGCCACTGGTGCCCAGTTTATTTCTGGAGATTTTCAGGCGATTTATGGGTCTTGTGTGTCAAGAAGCTCACTTGAGACCTTCCTAGCTCCCAGTGCTGGAAGGAAGTGACAGAAGGAGGCTTCCTGTTGGCTACTAATGGTGTTGAACTGGTGAAATTGCAGTGACGAGGTGTGTGTCCTGGCACCCTGTGATTGCAGCCTGGCAAGCTGGTCTGGACAGGATGACTTCATGAGCCTTTCCCACTTCTCATTTTTATGACTGGCTTCACTGTTTCATTTCTGGCTTTCTCTCTCTGCCAGTCTTTCTTTCTTGCAGCTTCGGTGTTTGGGATTTAGAGCCAGCATTTGGGATCACTTTTCTAATCCTTTCTAAATCCTCATTTAGTCTAGGAGTGAGGAGGAGAAGGTGAGGAAAAGAGGATCAGCCCTAGCTAAAAGCAGTATGTTACTGTACTTTCTGCTACTATAAAGAGATACCTGTGGGTGGGTAACTTTATTAAGAAAGTAAGTTTATCTGGCTCATAGTTCTGAGGCAGGGTGGAGGAGCAACATCTGGTAATGATTTTCTTTCTGGCAGATTTAGTTCCAAGGTGGCACTAAGCATCCAATGGCAAGAAACAGGGAGTCTATGTGGATGTATCCCCTCCTGCCTCTGACATCTCTTATTAAAAAAAGTCACCAGTGCTCAGTCATGGGGGCTGTACCCTCATATCTAATTCTAAAGGCCCACCTCTCCACAACATGGTTGGATTAAGCTTCTATTCTCTTAAAGCCTCCCAGTGGAGCTGACATTTCAGTATCTCAACCTCAGTGTGGGGGAGAGGGGAAGAGTACCCAACCACATCCAAACTATAGGAATGCCCCGCACCACCCACGGGAGCCTCTCATCCTAGCAGTGCTGTCTTTGTCCTGGAAGCAAAAGGAGAAGCTTTGTGCTGCTCAAGGTGTAACGAGGCCGTCGTGATGGAGGAGAGGGAGGGGACACAGCTAGTTGTCCTTTGATGTGCTCTTCCATTTCCACTACCATCTCTCAGGTCAAGTCTTGAGTCCTCTCAACCAGATGGTGCCACGATAGTTCTCATTGCTTCGGTGGTGGGGGCCATGGGCCTTCATGGCACCAGACAACTGTGTGTGTGTGCGTGCGCGTGCGCGTGTGCGTGCGCGTGCGCGCGCACTGGGGATGGAACCCAGGCCTTACAAGCTAAGCACACATTCATGCATCCCCAGTGTTGGATCCAGATGATGGCTTACCACACCATGCCGCTTTCCTAGCGGTATATAATCAGATGTTGCCATACCCACCCAGCATCTGGGACAACAGGAACCCATTTCTCAGTCTGAATTTAAAGGTCTTCTGTAATTGGCTTAGCCTTTCCCCAAGGAATTCCTGTCTTAGCTCCTGCTTTTACCTCTGCTGCAAGATGTCATCATGCTCTGTTGCCCAGGGCACTCCACCACTCCACTGTAGGCTCTTCTCTGTGTGCTCCTCCTCAATCCAAACAAAGCAGCTCCTGCCTTACTTCCTTGCCCTTGGCCACTGACATTCCTGTTCTCTACCATTGACTGTCAGAGTTGTGGTTCCATCCTGGTTAGTCCTTCTCTGTCCTATTTGGTAATCTTCCCAGATAGACTACAAGCCTTTGACATTGGATCCTATCTAACTTTTTTTTTTTTTTCCAATCCTGGGGCTTAAACTCTGGACCTGAGTGCTGTTTTTGAGCTCCTTTTGCTCAAGGCTAGTGCTCTACCTCAGAGTCACTTCCAACTTTTTCTGTGATTAATTGGAGATAAAAGTCTCCTTTCCCCAGCAGGCTTAGAACTGCAAGCCTCAAATCTCAGCTTCCTGAGTAGTTAGGATTACAAGCATGAGCCACTGGCACTGGGCCTTAAACGTCTTTTATATTTTCCTTGGTACCCTGCCATTCCATGTGGCAAATGGTAAAATTTTGATCCTCTTTAGAGGTTTGCTCACCTGCAAACTACATTGGTAAGGTCAGGCATGATGGGGCATGCCTGTAATCCCAGCCTCTCAGGAGACAGAGGTACAAGGATTGCATCCTAAGCCAGCCCTGGAGAAAAGTAAGAAATGCTATCAGAAAAAATAAACTAAAGCAAACATGACCAGGGACATGGCTTTAGTGGGAGAGTGCTTGTCTAGCAAGTACAAGGCCAGAAAAGAAAGAAAGAAAACCAAGTACCTTTGGCTCATGCCTATTATCATAGCTACTAAGGAGACTGAAATCCGAGGCTTGCAGTTTGAAGCCAGTCTGGGCAGTAAAGTCCATGAGACTCTTTTTTTTTTTTTTTTGGTCATTTGTGGGGCTTCATGAACTCAGGGCCTGAGTGCTGTCCCTGAGCTTTTTTTTGCTCAAGGCTAGTGCTCTACCACTTTGAGCCACACCTCTACTTGCAGTTTTCTGGTGATTAATTAGAGATAAGTTTCCCAGACTTTCCTGCCCTGGCTACCTTTGAACTGTGATCCTCGGATCTCACCCTCCTGAGTAGCTAGGATTACAGGCATGAACCACCAGTGCCAGCTTCCATGAGAACTTATCTTCAATTAACCACCAAAAAGTCAGAAGTAGAGCTGTGACCCAAGTGATAGAGTGTAAGCCTTGAGCAAAAAAGTTGATTGTCAGGCCCTGAGTTCAAGTTATAGGATCAGAACAAAAAGAAAAAGAAAAAAGGAAGAGAAAGAGGGAAATAAGGAAATAAAGAAGGGAGGGAGAGAGAAGGAAACTACATTGGTGATGTTCTGGAAACTAGTATGTTTTGTTTATCTTGCAAAAATAAACCTTGTTTGTAGCTGGGGATCATGTTTATCCATCCATGCACATGATGCTCTGATGACTTTGCTGCGTGTGGAGGAATTCTCAAGTTTTTTTGTTTTGTTTTTAAATTAGCAGTACTGGAGTTTGAAGCCAGGGCCTTGTACTTGTTAAGCAGTGGTTTTCCAGGCCAGATCTCCTGCCCTTTTTTGACTTAATCATTTTTCAGATAGAATCTTGCTAGGAGCTGTCCTCAGACTACAATCCTCCTGGTTACCCTACTTGGATAACTGTGATTCCGAGTATATATCACCAAGTCCAGCTTTTTGGTCAATATGAGGTCTTGTTAACTCCCTGCCCCTTCTGGTCTATGGATCAATGCCTCCATAGAAGCCAGAATTACAAGCCTGAGCCACCCTGCCCATCCCAATAATCGAGGTTTGAATGATGGTCATTAGTCTCAGGATTTCCAATAGCCAGGCTGTACTGGCTCTCTTGTGATGTCCAGTTGTTTGTTCTTTCTCCAGAGAGCTCCTGTGAGAACAAGCGTGCAGACCTGGTCTTCATTATTGACAGCTCCCGCAGCGTCAACACCTATGACTATGCGAAGGTCAAGGAGTTCATCATGGACATCTTGCAGTTCCTGGACGTTGGTCCTGATGTCACCCGAGTGGGCCTGCTCCAGTACGGCAGCACGGTCAAGAACGAGTTCTCCCTGAAGACCTTCAAGAGGAAGTCAGAGGTGGAGCGAGCCGTCAAGAGGATGAGGCATCTGTCCACAGGCACCATGACGGGGCTGGCCATCCAGTACGCCTTGAACATTGCCTTCTCCGAGGCAGAGGGGGCCCGGCCCCTGCGGGAGAACGTGCCCCGGGTCATCATGATCGTGACAGATGGGAGGCCGCAGGACTCCGTGGCCGAGGTGGCCGCAAAGGCTCGGGACACAGGCATCCTGATCTTTGCCATTGGGGTGGGCCAGGTGGACCTCAACACACTGAAGGCCATTGGGAGTGAGCCCCATGAGGACCACGTCTTCCTGGTGGCCAACTTCAGCCAGATCGAGTCGCTGACCTCCGTGTTCCAGAACAAGCTGTGCAGTAAGTCCTGCCTCTGTGGCTCACCGAGGGGCACCAGTAGGATCTATGCATTCATCATTCTGTGCTACCTCCTCCCAGGGGCTGTGCCAGAAGTGGGGATGATGGTGGGTGGGGAGACTCAACAGACACCACAATAGATGCATCCATCTTTTGGGACCTAGACTTTGGCCAAGGAGATGAATATTAAGCATGCAGTTATGGGAATGTGAGGTAACTTCAGTTGTAACAGTATAGTGGAGGCAGAGTTGAGAGCATGAATGGTATAGACAATCCCACGGACTAACTTGAGAACCAAGGAGCTTAGAAAGACTTTGCCTAGAGAAAGGACTGTTAGACTCAAAAGGTAAAAACAGGACTGGGCCTCATGTGATTCCACCTACTCAAAAAGTAGAGATTGGGGGGCTGGGAAGGTGGCTCAGTGGTAGAGCGCTTGCCTTGCATGTCTGAAGCCCTGGGTTCCATTCCTCAGCACCACATAAGAAAAAAGAAAAAAGCTGAAAGTGGGGCTGTGGCTCAAGTGGTAGAGCGCTAGCCTTGAGCTGAAGAGCTGAGGGACAGCGCCCAGGCCCAGAGTTCAGGCCCCACGACCGGACCTCCTCCCCCCGCCCCCCGAAAAAAAGTAGAGATTGGGAGGATCAATATTTGAGGCCAGACTGACTGAGCAAAAAGTCCTTAAGACTCCATCTCAAGACATAAGCCAGGCATAGTGGTGATCCTGTATCTGTGATCCCAGCTATACAGGAAGTGTAGTTAGGAGGGTCACAGTCTGAGGTTAGTGATGGACAAAAAATAACCTAAGAGGGGGCAAGGGGAGGGAAATGGGCTGGGAACATGGCTCAAGTATTATGCACCTGCCTAAAAAGCTCCAGACCCTGAGTTCAAAATCCAGTACTGGCGCTGGGTGCCAATGGCTCACTCCTGTAATCCTAGCTACTTAGGAGGCTGAGCTCTGAGGGTCACGGTTCAAAGCCAGCCAGGACAGGCAGGAAAGTCTGTGAGACTCTTATCTCCAATTAACTACCAAAAAAACGGAAGTGGTGCTGTGGCTCAAGTGGTAGAGCGCTTGCCTTGAACTGAAGAGCTTAAGGACAGTACTCAGGCCTAGAGGTCAAGCCCTACAACTGACCAAAAAAAAAAAAAGAAAAAAGAAAAAAAATCCAATACTGGAAAAAAGCAAAAAGGCAGAATGAGTAAGAAGAGATAGTTTTTGTGCAGCATGCTAGGCTTTCCTGGCACTCCCTAAGTTGGAGCTTGGGGGCTGGGGTGGAGATGGGAATGAAATGCGGTGTGTACCATAGATGATGGCATGGATTTTGGGATATTTTTGCCCTGAGATGCTGCTGGCACTACTGCCAGCAGTGTTTTCTCAGCTGACAAAGAGATTCAGTGTGTGGAGAGGATGAGAATGTGGTCCCGGCACACCTTTTCCCCTCCCCCGGAGGATGGCAGGTGTCTCTGCCCACCCCCAGCTCCTTCTGAAAGAAGACCCCTCTCTACTCTTGAGCTATGTTTTCTGTTCTTCCTTTTCTCCTTTGCTTTCTAACCCTTTTGTCCATGTGGCTGTTTCCCCCTTCCTTCCTATACTCTTCCTGTGACCTTCAACCCTAGCTCTGCCACCATTTTTCTCAGCAGGTCAACTTGGTTTCTCCTGTCTTCTGCCTTCTCTCTCTGGGAGGGTAGAGGCCAAGGATGCCAACTCAGACTCCATGCTCAATTCTACCACCTAGACTATGGGCAGCCTGACCCGGTAAACCATGTCCCACCCTGCCTTACCCACCTCAGTAACCCGCATATCCTCCAGCTACCATGTGTCCTTGATGGGGAAATAAAGGAAATACTTTTTTTAATGCCAGTCATAGGGCTTGATCTCAGGGCCTGGTGCTTCTGTGTTCAAAGCTAGTGCTCTACCACTTGAACCACAGTTCCACTTTTGACTTTTTGGTGATTAATTGGAGATAAAGAGTCTCATGGACTTTCCTGCCCAGGCTGGCTTTGAATTATGATCTCATCTCAGCCTCATGGGTATTTAGGAATACAAGTGTAAGCCACCATCACCTGGCAGAAATATTGTGTGTGTGTGTATGTGTGTGTGTGTGTGTGTGTGTGTGTGTGTGTGTGTGTATTGGTCATGAGGCTTGAATTCAATGCCTGGGCACTGTCCCTAAGCTCTTTTGCTCAAGGCTAGTGCTCTACCACTTTGAACCACAGCTCTGCTTCCATGTTTTGAGTGGTTAATTGGAGATAAGAATTTCACTGACTCTTTTCTTCCCAGGCTGGCTTTGAATCATGATCCTCAGGTCTCAGCCTCCTGAGTATCTACAATTATAGGTGTGAGCCACCAGCACCTAGCTAGAGATACTTTTTAAATGATGGTATTTCCTTAGAGTGTATGTGGAGAACAAGCTGTCAAGCCAGGCTACAAGGGGCTTCCTGCCCCTCTGAGGTCTGTGAGAACCACGTCTCAGAATGTGACAAACCCCAGGCCCACACGACATAGGCCTTGCAAAAAGAGAAAAAGAACATCCTTTTGTGTGTCTTTTTAAAAAAATCCACTTGCCACTCGGTGCCAGTAGCTTATACCTGTAATCCTAGCTACTCAGGAGGCTGAGATCTGAGGATTGTGGTTCAAAGAATGGGCAAGAGAGTCCATGAGACTCTTATCTCCAACTAATCACCAAAAGACAGAAGTGGAATTGTGGCTTAAATGGTGGAGTACCAGTCCTGGGAAAAAAGCTCAGGGACTGCACCAGGACCTGAGTTCAAGACCTAATACACTCTCTCTCACTCACTCTCTCTCTCTCTCTCTCTCTCTCTCCCTCACTTCTTCCTTCCCTCTCTCACTTTCTTTCTCCCTCTCCCTCTTCCTCTCTCTCTTTCTCTCTCATTCACTTGCACACACACACACACACACACACACACACACACACACTTACCAAAACTAACCTCAAAAAAGCAGAGACCCATTTTCTATTGACTCAAGAGTCAAAGGTTTATTTGAAAAATCAATGCCATGAAGAAAAAATAAGCTTTTCCTTGCAATGTCACTTGGAAAGTGTTCACTGGGGCCATTTCCCTGGCACTGTTCTTATGGTGCTGTGCTGCAGTCTGAGTCAACTGGAAACCTCGATCAGGAGGACAGGCAGCAAAGGGTTTTAAGGTTTATGACTTCAAATGACTTCTGCAGAATTTATGCTCCTCTTTCCTGGAAACATTAAGAAAAGAAGTTGACTCTATAACACTTTGGACCATTTGTTCGTGCATAGTAGAAAATCTGTAATGGAGGAGCACCTTGGATCTATTGACACATGGAAAGGTAGACAAGAAGGCGGAAGAGCAACAGCACCATCCCCATCCACATTGCTGCACGTGGACTTGTGCAGAAAAAAGAACTTCTCAGGGTGCTTCAGGCCAAGGCAGCAAATTCAAAAGGCTCTTTGGGGCTGGGAATGTGGCTTAGTGGCCAACGGCTTTCCTAGCATGTATGAGCTCTGGGTTCGATTCCTCAGGACCACATAAACAGAAAAAGCCACAAATGGTACTGTGGCTCAAGTGGTAGAGTGCTAGCCTTGAACAAAAGAAGCTCAGGGACAGTGCCTAGACCCTGAGTTCAAACCCCAGGACTGGCAAAAAAAAAAAAGGCTCTTTGGCAGTTTTCCCCTCTGTGATCTTTTGTTATAATCTAGAAGCAGATACAAAAACATTGGTGTTACCCCATTCACTTGTGTGGGCCGAGCAATGATTCCCCTGCCACTCTTCCGTCCCTACTGCGGGAATCACAGCTGCCTGTGGGGGCAGTGCCAAGCTCTTCCAGGCAGCCTCATCAACCATCTTGAAAGGGTTGAAGAGGCCCCAGAGCCTCTTTATCCACAGTGCGGTGAAGACCGTAATAACTAACATCTATTAAGCACTTTCCCAAAGCGTCCACATTACAGCCAGTACCACCGCTCCTTCCCACAGCTTAGCAGGCTTGTCCAGCAAGCCAGCCAGCATTGCAGGACCAGGATGCCAAATCTTGGCTCATTTTACTCCTTTACATGGTGGGAAATCTCTAGTCCTCGCTCTCTCTCTTTAAAATGTTTAAAAAATTTATTAAGTAGTTGTACAAAGAGTTTACAGTTCCATGTCAGGTTATGAGTACAAGGCATCTTGATCAATGTTACCCCTTCCATCGTCATTGTCCCCCATTCTTCCCCTCCCTCACACCTACCCTCACTTTTTACATAATATACATTGAATATAATGACTGCATTATCTAGTCTACTCTCTCTCTCTCTCTCTCCTTTTTTGTCAGTCATGGGGCTTGAACTCTGGGCCTGGGCACTATCCCTGAGCTCTTCAGTTCAAGGCTAGCACTCTACCACTTGAACCACAGTGCCACTTCTGGTTTTCTGAGTGGTTTATTGGAGATAAGAGTCTCCCTGACTTTCCTGCCCTGGCTGGCTTTGAACTACGATCCTCAGATCTCAGCCTCCTGAGTAGCTAGGATTACAGGCATGAGCCACTGGCACCTGGCTATCTAGTCCCCTCTTCAGGTGAGGATTCATTTT